TGTGTATCTATCTATCTATCTGTCTATCTATCTATCTATCTATCGTCTGTCTGTGTATCTATCTATCGTCTGTCTGTGTATCTATCTATCTATCTGTCTATCTATCTATCTATCTATCTATCAGGATTTTAAATTCAATCAATAATTCTGTTTAATTGATAATGGAATCAGTCCACCAAACTGCTAACATGAACACCAGTTTATTATCTGATCAGGTGATCAATACTTCTGTTTGATTCTCTTTCTCTCGCTCAGGAGACTCTCAGCGTGTCATTTCCAGTTTCACCCAAACGCTGAGCTATTTCAGGAACCGTGTGTGTGTGTGTGTGTGTGTGTGTGTGTGTGTGTGTGTGTGTGTGTGTGTGTGTGTGTGTGTGTGTGTGTGTGAGGCTCAACTGCATGATCGATGCTCTCACACACCCTCTGCGGCTCACGGCTCCGCAGGAAAGAGCCGGACCCCATCAATAAGTGCTCAAGACGGATTCCTGGCCACAGAAAACAGAATATACTGTACGCAGATAACGAGACTTCACTGGGAAACTGGCGTCACTCCAATATTACACAGATAGAGAAGATTTCATAACAAACTTTATGAAAAAACAAAAACAAAATGGCACCAGTTTTGGGATCGTGGGATAGTATCTGTTTCTTTCTGTATCTTTGCAGATCACTGTTTTGAGCACAGCTTTTTTATTTATTTTAATTTTTTTGTAAACTGTGCAAGAAAATGCTCTTAAAGTTCATTAATACTTAGTAATAAAATGAAATGTTATATTTTAAATATTATTCTAGAAAATTATTTTAAGAACATTCTTTAAAAATTGTGTATTTAAAATGTTATTTTTAATCAAATCTTTTATTTTTTACAATAATAAACTATTTAAATAAATAATTAAAAACATTAAATAAAATATTTAAAATGATTTTAGGTAAAATATATTTTACAATATTTAAAAATAACAAACTATTAGTTAAAATATTACTTAAAAATAATAAAATAATATTTAAAAAAATCTATTGTTTTAAATAAAATATTTAAATTTTAAGAGTGTCCCTACAGTTACCTAAAAAAAAAGTGACTCGTTGAATTCAAGGCCGAATGGAATTAGTGCAAAAATAAACCGGTTAGGTGAACTGTCTTAATCGTCTCTATCTGGAACTCAGCATGACCTCATTTTGATTTGATTTGAGATAATTAATCCTTTCCAATAAATTACCGTAATTACCCAGATAACAATCTAACTATTGCAGACTTGACTTTGTTTAATGAGGGTAATTTACAGAACCGATTCTGGCTCGAAAAGGAATGTGTGTAAATAATAAGTGCGTGTTTGCGTGTCTACGGCTCACGATCGTCTTAGAAACATCAACTGGGATTCAAAACACTTTCTGAGAGATACAGTTGTCATCAAATGTCTGCACCGTCTAAACCAGACGTCTAATTATTCAGGTAGCTAGCTTGCTAACTTGTGTAGAGTATGTTTCAGACTGATCTGTTTGCTATTTCAGTGGAGAATTACTGAGACAACTGCAGTGAACTCAACAGGTGCAAAGCATTACACTCGGTGTGTGTGTGTGTGATTAGAGGTCATATCCAGAGACTCTGGCAACTGGACGTCCATAATGATTTCATCACGTGCCGTGCCAACACAAGCAGGATTACACAAATCATTTCTTTGTGTGTGCACAGACTGGTTCCCCACAGACCGCAGCGCTAATAAATAATCCCTCAGTTTTGTTACCGTGAGGGTCATTACTCTTAGCATGAGCTAATGGTTTGCTGTCATGTTCAGGCATCGGTCGGAGCTCCTAACACATTTTTAGCGCTAAGAGCTGCCTCAGGACCCAAATCCAGAGAGAACGGACACTAAAAATACAAAAGGCCAAGAAAACCAAACATAAAACTCACAACATCAATGTCTTACTGGAGTCTTTTGGAGCCACTGATGTGTGACCAAATGTGGATTTGGATTCGTTCTGGTGGAATTTGCATGATCATATTGGCCAAACGTATCGGGAGCGCTCAGCGATGGCAGCGACATTTGTCTCTGTTACACCTTCACCTCAGCGGAAATGAATTTTTTAATGTGTTTTTTCCCGCCTATAGAGGACAGATCCGCTTTCAGATACATATT